GCTTTAGTGGGCCGTATGCTAATTGAAGTGTCGATTGGATAATTGTTTCTTTTCAGTGCAAAGCATTTAACAGATTTGCAGCTTATGGAGGTCAATGTGTTGCATCTGGGATTTTGGCATACTATTTAGCGCAGTGCTCAATTTGATGGGTCTGTGCAAATTGCGGGACCTCGATAAAAACAGACATTTCAAACATCGCTCACTTGTGCCACAAAACGTCTCAAATTGAGCTCATTGACGTCTGGTTGAAATGATTGTCGTTTTTAATTGATTTGCAGCGGAGCAATTGAAACATGCCCAGTGATTGGCTTTGATTTCTCTAAGACGATAAATGGATATGTTTTCCACAATTTGTAACTTGGTCAAATATTAAAATGGATCTACACAGTAGAGCTGTAAGACTAAAGTGTAGAATGCTGCTGGCAAGAGTTCGAGTCATTGACAAAACTCACTATCGCAGCTTCTAGTTTGAATCCCACATAATTCCATGGCTATTGTGCCAGATTAGTGGATGTGTTATTAGATTGCGAAGCTATTTAAAGCAGAAACATGTGCCAAAAAAAGAAACAAACAAACCTGAACCGAATCATTTTTATACCTATTGAAAGTGTGTAGAAGGGGTATATTGCTTATGTCAGCAACAGCCGAGTCAATTAAGAGAATGAGTATATTATTATAATTTCACTATCTGCACCCACTCGGAGATTTTTAGTTTTATAGAATGCTTAGTACACAAAGACTCTGAATATCTCCTGGTCTGGCACTCCCGACCAATTTTGACCTCAAAGCTGGTATTATCTCATCTGAAAGGCCACAATAATGAGAATTTGGTGGTAGATAAGCTAATTTTGAAACGAAAATAAGCAACGGAAAATTGTATTTTGTTATCAATTAAAAATTGAATTAAAATTTGGAAAGAATGCGATGAAACAAGATTCGAACTTTGGTTTATAAATAGTCTTCTGCAATATATGAAATTATAAATGAAAATCAATTTTTGAATAATATTATTATTATGTTTTATTATTCTGCAAGTCATTCTACTTTACAATCGTTTTTATTCATGTTCTAGAAATGTTTTTTCCTACGTCCCTTCTCAGTTCAGTTCTAATATTGCTGCATAATCTCGCCACATGCTGAACATTTGATAATTCTTGATGATTCATTTTAATGTACACTCATTCTATGCATTATTTACTCACTAATGTTCTCAATTATTCAAACCCAGCAAGTGGAATTTCTATTTGGAACCCGATTTTCGGAATTCCAGCCTCTTGGGAATGCATAAATATAGCCACATATATGCTTGTTCAAATTGGAAAAGACAACATGAAGTGGCTGCCGATCCTGAACAGACGAATATATCATTTATTATGGCTTCTCTCGGAATTGTGCCCAGTCCAAGCGACCTTTTACTTGCATTTTTTGCCTAGTACAAATGTTGTAAAGAATTCGCTTTGGAGGCGTGTTAAGTGTTTAACTGAAGAGGCAACACAACTTGCAACTAAGTAGGTTACAGACAAAGCAATCATGCAACAGCAATAGCAACAGCTGCAGCTGCAGCAGCAGCAGCAACAACAAAATGTCTGTTTTGCCGCCAACGCCCACATTTTCGAGGCGCTAAGCCCGGGGCGGCACTTGTCGTCGTTTTGTTGCCTGTCAGCCAGTGTGTACAATGTGCTTTTGGAATGAGGTTAGAATCGATTTTTAGTTGAGTTTATTTCAGTGCATGATAGTGCAGGTTTCATTTACCACTTCGCATTTAATTGGGTTGCAGGCAATTGTGTAGCTACAAATATCAGAAGGCTCAGAAATAGGCTGAAATGGCTTAAGGCTAGCCTACTAATATTATAGGCAAATATATCTGAAGCTCTTGTAGAAAGAAGTGCTTTCTATTATTTTTTAGTCCTATTTATATATGCAATTTAGTTTTATCGGATTTTGCTAAAGTTGATTGTATTTCTTTTCAATATCTGCAATATTTCCCATAATATTCTGAATATGTTTAAGCAATTCTTTTCAACGAATTTCCGCTAGGTTGTAAAATTAAAATGTATTTATTCAAAAACTTATGAGAAGCCGCAATATAAATAGAATTTTAGCTCAACAGCTTGCAATTACCCTTCGAATTTCCTCATGAATTTCCCTCTTACTAATACATTATGCAATCTAGATAAAAATCTTTATGCTGATTTTAGTTGAACAACTTTTGTTCTTTCAAGAAAATACATTTTCGTCGCATTTTTGTCGAATTTGGTAAACTCTCATCTAAAAAAAGCTTTACTAAGATGAATATAGTAATAATATTAAAATCATTTCGTATGCGCATAGCGTAATTCTGTTCTACTTCTACTACTGAACTTTGCAATCTAGCTATCGGGCTTCGTATGACATTCAAGCGCACATCATTGTTTCAATAGTGTCAAGCGATGCGACAGCTTCACAAATTGAATTCCATTAAAAATTACTAAACCCTGAGAAACTGCTAAAAATAAACTCAACAGCCGCACGTGCCTTTAGTTGAGACAGCTGGGATTGAATGATGGAGCAGCTAGCATTATAAAAAATAGCCGGAGGGGAGACAGTGATGGAGCGAGAGGAGCAGCTTAAGCTTACCCAGCGCGTAATCCTATATCAATAAATAGCCAAATAACACGTATGCTATAAATTGTCAAAATACGCTTTGGTATTATTTCAAATCTCCTGTGGAAAGCGTACTCGACGTCTGTACAATTGGTGCTAAAAGTTAACTGTGAGCTGTTAGTTGGAAATTGGATCAAGATTTATTTATATTTGAAAAATGGTTTCAGATAAGCGTTATAAAATTTTATTTTTTTAAATCGATAAATATCGTTTGAACAAAAGCTTGTATAAGTTAGCTTTATAAACCGTTTAGCTAAAATCGATAAAAATCGATCGAAATTTAACACAAGCTTGGATAAATTGAATAAATATTCGAAAGTAAAGTGCCTCGGGTTGCTCACAAATCGATGAATATCAGTTAATTATATTTATAACTAAAAGCAGTTGATTTAGCATTAAGAAACTGTTTTAGAACTGAAAAAGTGTTGACATATTCTTGTATATTTACCAATCCAATATATATCGAAGTTTCATGATGTTTATTTGCCGACTCTTGATTTTTCGATAAATAACTTTTCGCTTACGCTTTAAAACTGACCTACGAAAGCTGGCAGGCAGTTTATATCAGTTAGTGCACCGATATTATCTAAATATTTTTATCTGTTTAGTAAACAGTAGCAAATGCTTATATACATGCTATGTATAAAATACTTATAATAGCCTTATCTAAGTCCCAAAAATTGAATACATCATAAATTACAAATTGCCTCCGACCCTTTATTTTCACTTTTTGTCTTTTGCCTGGGCCATAAAAAATTTACGACAATTTTGCATTCTTGTTGTCTCTCATGGCATTTACACACGATATCAAATGATTAGTCATTTTTACTGTTGGTTGGGGCACATTATGGGCCAAACTCCTAAAACACACCCTACTTGAGGCCCCCCCGCCAGTCTATACTCGTATAATTGTTATGCAATCGCTATCGAAAATCAACCATATATGGACAGTCCGTATAGCTGACTGACTGACTGAGTGACTGTCAGTAAGCGCATGTGCTCTAGCTGAATTGTGGGCTCTGCAGTAATATTGAGTTCTATATTTAGTGCTGCCTAGCAATTTACTGGGCCCATCAAGTACGTGACTTTTTATTGTGCATGGCATACAGAATGAGTCCAATCGATCGATACACATTATAAGGGTAAACATAAAGGTTGATATTAAAATAATGCCCGCATATCAAAGCTGGTGCCACGGAAAAAAACCAAAGCAGTTCTTAAGCCGCAAATGCGTTTTAACGAATAGCACTTTATTGATAATCTATTTAGTGAAAAAATATTACTTATAAATTACCGCTGGCATTTCAAATCTCGTCGTTACACAACACTATAAGCTACCTTGTATATTATTGGCTGTGCGCATTCTATTATTTATTTTTTTATTAGAACTCCTTTATATCTATTCACAAACCTTGACGATATTAGTCTGTAAATACTACTCTTATTTCCTTATCTACAGCTAACGCCCTTTTATTTATGTATATATTTGTCTGCTTAGCAATATTATATAATACAAAAAGACAAAAAATGTTTTTATGACATAAGTAGGTTGACTAATATTCAAATAGCTTACTCTCCAAAATCATTAAATACTGAGACTTCATTATCATTAAAAACTAGATTGAGATTCGAACAGAGATTGATAAAAAGCTACTGCCTACAATTTAAATCAAGTCCTGTTTGATTTGTATCAAATCAAACTAACTGAATAACTTAATGGAGATTGTAGATTATATTTTATTTAAATTATTTATTAAATACTTAATGCTAGCCGGGCCTTTGAATGTCCCTTCAAATAATTAACATAAAACATAGATATACATATTTATATAATACAGAAAACTGACACACGCGGCGTATGCGCAATGCATGAAATTTGATTGATTTGTTGAGCGATTTAAAAACCAATTTATGAAACACGGAACTAAACCAAAAGCAGGCTGAAGATAATTATATATATATAAAATATATATATGTATATATATATATACATATATGAAGCTTTTAACTGAAGTACAGTATTCGCTCGAAAAGAGAAAGTTTCCATTTTGGCAGCTTTTTTCTAGATTGATCATCTTTCAGTTTGTAAAATGAATTTAATCTTTAGAATACGCAATGTTGTAAATATTTTATTTCTGGATCTTATAGTTTCTGAAACCCATATAAAATATAAATAAATATGAAAATGAAAATAATTAAAAAAGCTAAAATTCTTAAAATAATTTAATTAAACTTCGAATTTCTTGACAATAATTATTTTCTGTGAAAGACCAAATTCTTATATGTTCACATATATTATGCTAAGGCTAAATCGATTTCAATAAAGATGTTTTTTGGTTTTTATGAAATGTACTCACCCCAACTGGAACCGGTGCGTCCGAGGCATTGGCTAGTTTCACTGTTCCATAGGAATTTTCTGAAACCCTCCCATTTGCCCATCTTTGGCGGTGGGGAGTAGTATTCACCAATCTTCTTGTCGGCCATTGTTTTTTTTTGTTTTCCTTTTTCTTGTTAGTTGGCTTTAAGTACGATTAGGATTCGTTTGCACCAGGTCTAAGGAGGGTGTCTGTCTGTTTTTATTAGGCTAGCTTTAAACTATATGTTTATTTTTGTTTTTGTTTTATTTTTTGTGTCTTATTGTTTAGGTTTTTAAACGCTTATCGTTATAAATATTTATATACGTTTTATTATTTAAATATTTATTAATTATGTTAATTTTTTGTTTTTGGTGTGTTTTTCTTAATCAACTGCGTTGGTACAACATTTTTAAATGGGGTTTTTTTCTGAATGTTCGTAGCAGTATTGTGTTAAGATTTGCGCTAAATTTATTTGGTTACTGAAATTAGAAATTGTTTTATGAGTAAAATGTGATAAATTTTGGCTAATTTACCACCTGTTGGGTGGGGGAAGAGGTAAAATTAGTAAAAGGGGGCTGGACTACTTTTCTTTTAATAAAAACTATATTTTATTTAAAACATATTTCATTTAAAATTTCGAAGCAGTTTCTATTGGAGTTTCTTAAAATTATTTTATGTATCCTATCATCAATTAAGAACTGTCTATTAAAATTGATTTAATTAAATTGTGTATAATTTGCTCAGTTTTGGTTTCCCGAAAAATTAATTAATGTTTTAACTACTCCTTTTGAGTATAAACTATGACATTGTGGGCCATAATCAACTTTACTGCTTATATAAACATTACAAATTCATTTGCCAAACTGAACTGAAAACCAGAAGGATATGCCCTCTTTGGCAGCTGCTGCTGCGTGTTTTTTTTTTTTTTGTTCTTTCCGACAAGGACACACTATGAAAAACGACCTAAAGTACACTTTCTAGTTGAATTGTGCAGCTGGTAAACGGGTTTTCGCACTCGCTATTAATTCTTGTGAATTTTTCATGAATTTTGATTAATTAATTATTGCTAATTCGATCAACTCTTTGCCATTTACGTGAAAACAAATTGCAGTCGCCTGCCGATTTTAGCCACACACTCTGCCAACTGTTATGTAATCTCGAGCGAGGAGCATTGGAAAAAGGCATCCAATGCTGCCCAAGCCAATCGGCGTATGCGCACAGAGCGAGTGGGAGATAGAAAGAGCGAAAGAGAGTGCGCACACGCACACACGCACACACAGGGAGTGCAAGCACGTAAGAACATCAAATAAAGAGAGCGAGCCTGGAACTTGCGTTGGAAGTTCTTCTTTTTTTTTTTTTTTCTGCAGAACGGTAAAACAGATTTCGGCCGTGCCATAAAAACTGCCAGCTGGGCGCCAGCCTAATGACAGCGAGCACAGCTTGTGGGAATGCTCGAGCAGCTCGTTACAGTTGTGCGGGAATTGCCAGTCCGATAAGCTTATAGTTATGCTATGCGGCTTGGCTGCTGCAGCTTTAAGAACACTTTGCAACACTGGCCACACAAGCTGTAATACTTATGTTAATTTTTCGTTGCGATATGCGCTTATCATGGCATATACATTTTTTGTTTTTTTTTTTTTGCAGCTTGGCTCCTTTTGTTGTTGTTCCAGCTAAAAAGAATGCTCACTAAGACAATGACGCTGCGCTCTCACGCATACGCATTGCTTGACTTACTTTTGAATGCTGCTGCCGCCGGCGACGTCGCTGCCACATTGCGCAACGCGCGTCCGTGTCGAAGGCGCAAATGAAACGGCCTCGGCTTTAGCTATAGATATAGCTATGCCCTGTGGCCTATGTCTGTTAGCGGGCGCTGGGCAACTTTTCTAGCTCTGGGCAGGGCGCACAAATGTAGGCAATGCTCTTTTTCATGTCGCTATTTATTGGTTATTTAATGCAATTTTGCATTTCTTTTGCATTTGCTTTGTGCTTAGCCTCAAAATAACATATGTAGCTGTTGTTTGTGAGCTGTAGCTTAAATTGCAATGTTTATATAAGCATATTGATTACACAATCTATACACACATATGCGCTAAATCTTCACTTTATGCAAATCGCAAGCTGCCAAAAATAACGAAAATCTGCAAGGAACTATTTTTATGTTTAGCTGAGCACAAAAGATATGTAGGTATTTTAGGCGTTGTCTGCCCTAAGGCTCAGCTCTAAAATCTAGCCCAGCATTTTTGTTTTTATTAAATTATTTATTTTTATATAATGTTTGTTTCACGTATATTTTTGTCAGCCTATTTATAAGTTACTTATCATTTGCTTTATTTAAATTTTAACTGTGCTATTTTTGTCTTTTTTTTTTTTGTTTATCAGTATTATTTGTTTATCAGTATTTTATTTTTTTAATATAGCCAGCAGCAAAAAAATAAATAAAAATCGAATTTCGGTATGTATATAAGTTTTGCAAGGATATATATATATTTTTTTTTTTTGCTGCTGGTGCTGTCACAGTGTCCTCGTCGCGTCGCCTTTGGCGTCGCTCTTGCCGACGCTGTTCATATAATCACTGCTAGAACTGTCTTTTATCTGCTGGTCTTAAGCTTTTTGATTTTTATGTTTTGTATTGAAAACTTTGCTAATCCTTATGTTAATTTTATTTATGTTATTGAGGTCGTGGAAGTTAACTATATTTTATTTTTTTTTTTGTGGCACTTTGCATCATCACCTCGAGGATTTTTTTCTTTTTTTTTTTTTTTGCTTTTTTATGTAACCAACGTTTTGTGCAAATACATGAAAATTTGTTGTATTTTCCGCAGCGGCGCACCAACAACAACACACATACAGATGGATTTTCTTGAACGCTGCTTTTCAGCTTCCTCTTCTCCTCTACGCAGACATGCACATAATAACTGTCTATATATGTTTATATATATATATATATAGGTATATATATATATATGTTTATATCTATGTGCCGTTATAATCCGCCAGCGAGTGCGAGTAGCAACCGTCCACAGTTAAAACGCCAATGATAGTGCCAGTTCAGCGTAGAGCTCGCCAGCACCGCAGCTGCTGCAACTGTGAGCGAAACGCTCGGCTTTGGTTCGGCTGCGTTCGGCTTCTCGTCGTTCGTTCTGGCAGTCGTTGGTTGAGCAGAGGGTGGCGGCCAGCAGGCAATTGCGTATGGAAAGGCACAGTCAGAGCTTTTTTGCCGCCTCGCAGCTTTTTGCTCAGCTGGGCGCCGTCGTTGTCTTTGCGTTGTCGTCGCCGTCACTGGAACGTCAGATTGCTTTGCTGGACTTTCGGCTTGTGGGTGGCGCCATTGCGGGTGGCACTTAGCCGGTGGTGCGTTGGGGAGCAACAAACAGTTGGGCTGCAAGCTTTCAAGGTTTCAGGCGTGCCCGCTGCTGCGGCTGCTTCTGCTGCGATTTGCAATCTCATTCAGTGGCTCTCGAACGACGTGCGTGAGCTGCATGTCAAGCAGTTGCTACTACTAAAGCTTTCTGGTTGCGCTGTGCTTCTCCAACTGTAGGTCTCGCTGCCGTTGTGCTTTGACAGTCATAAGTTCTTATCTAGAACTTTTTCTATGATTTGAAATATGCACAATAGCTCAGGAGAAATATAAAAGCTAATAATAATCAAATTTTGTATAGTTGATGTATGTATCTGTATATTTGTGTGTGAGTGACACAGAATAAGAGTATTTTGTTATTACTTAAGAAATTTAGTATGTATTAAGAGGCAGCATTAGTTAATGATTATTAAAACGAAACAGGGCAAATGCTTTCATCGTATGTTCAAGTACATACATCACTTTAAACATCATGAAACTCATATAAAAGCAGGAAACTTTCAAAAGGTTCAGATCATACCAATAAATAACTATAATAATAATAATAAATAATAGCAGACTATCAACATATTAAACAATAAATATCGATATATAAAAGACATGCATTCTAGTATCAGTATTGGTTTATTTATGTTTTATTTTTTAAGCTTTCAAAAAGCTCCTTGGCGCTTTTATTTCTAGACCTAAAAGCCGCTAGCGGCTTGCTCAGCTCCCGCTTGCAGCTCAGTTAGCATAGATTTTACAGGCCCCCAAGCTGTGGGAAAGGCTACCGTTGGGCTTCCAAGGCGAATACAGCTACAGCTACTTCCAGTCAATTTGCCGCAAGCATGCGCTGTAAAAGCGCCTGAGCGTAGGCAATAGAGTGCGAGAGCGTGAGAAACAAACAAAATTCCCGCAAAGTTTAGTAATATAATATTTATTGATTACTTGCTGCCAAAGTTTTCCACCAAAGAGTTTTCCTCTCAACTTGTTAAAATAGCAGCCGGACTATTGGCAAATTACATAAACTGAAAAAGAAAAATATGAAGTCCCTTCTCCTCACTCCAACCGTTGTCACACACCCATCTCTGTCGCACGCCCAGGCCGCGCTGAGCTCTATTTCTACTGCAGCATTGGGGGGAGGGTTTGGGTGTGTTTGGCCTGTGATTATTATACGTATATTGTTTCACTCACATCCAATTACGTCATATCTCAGCTGTTCTGAATACGCGACGCTTGTTACACAACCAAATGCAGCTCTTCAGCTCTCTGGCACATCCGCCCCCAAATCTCACACCTTCTCCTCTTGGCCCCTGGTATCCCAGGGCTTTAGTTATTTTGGGTTTTTAATGCTTACCTGTTTATATGGCTGACATTTAAGCTCTTGCTTACCGTTCGTTTCTGTTTGCGTGTATTGCGGTTTATTCCGCTCTTGCTTAAGCTCTAGCTAACTGTTAGTTTTGTGTTTATTGCGGTTTATTTCGTTCTTGCGGTATCCTATAGCAATCTTCATCCTCCCCTGCCGCACACACCCACAAACACACACATACATAATTTGTCATTACTTGGCTTTTATTTATATACGCAGCATTCGCTTTAAGTATATGAGTATTATTTTCTTTTTGCCCTTGCGAATAACGGTTATTGCAAGGTTCCTGGGTAGTAGAAGCTTCAATTTCTGTCTGACAAGTTCATATCTTTAAGATATAGTTACCAAGCAAAAGGTATCCGTTCTTGGATGTAAAAATATTAAATTTTAAATATAAGTACTTTAATTGTTAATAAGAGCAAAATATAAAAATATATTAGATAAAGATACCGTTGTAAATATAAATAAAAAAATATATTTATATACTTATCTTTATATATATAGATAATGAAGATATATATGTATGCAGATAAGGCCTAATTATATGTTGTCGATCCTTTATTATCTGCCTCTTTACCCAATTATTTATGACTGTAAGCACATAAAGCAATTATCGGATATTATTATTTCCAAAGGGCCATAATCAAGGGTAACCATGTATATGGCTTATATTTTCTGTATCTGAATTATCTGTGTGTGTATGTAATATGTCTTATCAACCTCATTCATTTAATATATTAACCAAGTACGCAATTATTAAATGATTGCTTTCTAATCGGAATTTTATTCGTTAGTTTCGTTAAAATTGTTGTCAATTTAGTTTGTTTGCTTGATTTTCAATTGTAATATGATAAAAAAAACCAACAAGATTTGTTTGGGTTGCTATTCGAGCCTAGGCTTGTCCTTGTCACGCCCCAATCAACATAAAGCAACATCTATTAATATATATGTTGAAAACACGTACTTCGCGAAACTCTACAAAAGATGCTGCATAAATTTAGAAGGATCTGACAACAGGATGTACGTGCACACAAAAAAGCGCACATACACACGCACACAACAATAGAAAAAGGCGGACACATGCCCTAACGGCTAATGCAATTACATGATGTTACAGAGTAGAGCAGGGATAGAGAGTGAGAGGGACGAAAAGAGAGAGAGAGAGCAAGAGAGAGAGAGTGAGAGCGAGAGAGTGAGAGCGAGAGAGGGAAGGCAAACAAAATGTCTAAAGCCTTAAACACACACACATACACAAACATAACGTATACGCCGCATTGTTGCCTTGGCCTTTATATGTTCGGTTAATGCGAAATGCTTGCAAAAGTTTTCAAAAAAATATTAGAAAAATACATTGAAAATGTATAAATGATGAGCAGCATAAAGCAATAATAGAGCATTTAACGCCCAGCGACAAGCTTTCAGTATTTTGACCCACATTGGCTGTCAAAACTTTTAACTCGAAAAGTTGACAATGCAGGAACAAGAGTTTGTCGTTGCGCTTGCTTGCAGGAACTGCTGATGCGGCTGCATATTTTTAGTTGGATACCAATTGCAATTGCACAGTCGTTAAGACCGGGTAAGGGAAGCAGGGTGCTGTGTGTGTTGGCTGGGCTTGGCATTAAGCCATTGCTATTGTATTCACCGTGTGGATATTCTGCGGAAATGTTGGTAAGACTTCAATGATTGCTTGTAAACGCTACGCGTAGCCAACGTTTATTCAAATACTGACTGTTTTCGCAATACACTTATGTACATTTGTGTTGGTATTATATTCAACCCAGATGGTCGAAGCCAATAAAGTAGGTTTTAAGATATGAATTTCAAAAGAAATCACAGCAAAGCTTACGATTTCTATTCTAATAAAAAAACTGGTTGATTATTTAACGATCTACGTTCAGTCCAAACCTTAAATACTAGCAAATACCAGATTTTTGAAATCCCACCCTCGCGTGTGGAAAACTAGTAAAAGTCGCTCATATGAAAGTTCTTTTACTTACGATTCGATTGGCTCCAAATTAATTGTCATAGATCTTTCTTTTTTTTAAACGTTTATTCTGTTGAATCTTGAATTTAAATTAAAAAAAAAATCTTCCCAAATATTTATTATATTGAAAATTCCACCTTCATGTGTGGAAAATTAGTGAAATGCGGTCGTATGACAGTTTTTTGCTTTTGATCCGATTTTCCTCAAAGTTATTTTCACAGATCGTCCCAAATATTCATCAAATGGAAAATTTCACGTACATGTGTTGGAAATTAGGTCATATCAGTCATTTAAAAGTTTTTCCTTTCTTAAGAACTTTTCTAATTAGGAGACGGGACTTTAAAGTTGTATGGATGAAAATTTAAGTTTTTTGCGATCGCTTTAAACTTTTTTTTTTTAAATAGCTAGTTATTTAATACTTATTTTAATCGATTTTGAAAATTTCCCTCAATATAATGTTTTATGGAAAACTCGCTTATAACTCGATTTATATACAAATATTAACATATTTATTAAGTTTTAATAAAGACTCGTATACATAAATACGTATTTCTAGGCCTATTGAGAATTATGTAGTATCTATATAAAATGCAGTAAGTCTTTTCTTTCTCACTAACCGAACATTGAATTCTGTCGAATTTGAATTAACTCAGTACTCAATGGTCACACACTTGGTCTTCAGATACTCGTTGAGCGCCTCCTGGCCCAAATCCTTGCCGAAGCCGCTCTGCTTAAAGCCACCAAATGGAGCTGCCACATCCGTTTTGTTGTAGACATTGACAAAGACGGTGCCCGCGTCGATGCGATCGGCAAAGCTCAAGGCCTTGCTAATGTCCTTGGTAAAGACACCGCTGGCCAGTCCGTACTCGGTGCGATTGGCACGCTCCATGACCGAGTCTACATCGCTGCCGTTGAACTTGGAGATGATCATAATTGGACCGAATGATTCTTCCTGTGCTATGAACATGTCATCCTCGACATTGGTGAACACGGTGGGCGTAAAGAAATAACCCTTCAGATTGGGCACGCGACAGCCGCCGTAAACAAGCGTTGCGCCCTCTGCCACGCCCCTTTCGCAGTACTCCAATAGCTTATCGAAGTGCGCCTTATGATTCTGTGGACCGTGTGCCGTGGACCGATTGAGTGGATCGCCAATGGTCATCGAGCGCAAATCCTTGAGCACGCGACGCACAAACTCGTCGTGAATGCGATCCTCCACAAAAAGACGTCCGGCGGCTATGCAATTTTCACCCTTATTAAAGAAGACCGAAGACATGCCCTGCAAGAAAAAGAAAATTAAGGAAATTAAAACAAGAGTGAAACAATTTGTTTAAATTAAGACCTGAGATGGAAATCGAAACAGTACGGGCTCAACAAATAGCTCAACCGAACCCCAATTGAATCAAATTTTTTCGAATTAAAAACCAGCCCCAAAGCGAATTCCTAGCTTGATTTTTTTTGAGGCATGGACCGATCGTTTATATGGAAACTACATGAAATCTTCAAAAGCTTATCAAAAACCGGCAGCGAAACGGACGAGCCTAAATTATCTAAAAATATAACTAAATTGCCGAAACTACCCAAAGTCCATACTCACGTGTTTCACAGCCTTGTCGAGATCACAATCAGCGAATATGATCAAAGGACTCTTGCCGCCCAGCTCCAGTGAACATTTCTTCAGATTGGATGCAGCGCAGGATTTCATGATGTGCTTGCCAATGGGCGTGGAGCCGGTAAAGCCCAGTTTGCGCACCAGCTGATGATCGGCCACAGCCTGACCCGCATCAGAGCCCTTGCCCGGCAGCACATTGATGACGCCCGGCGGGAATCCGGCCAGCACGGTGAGCTCCGCAAACTTGAGCGCCGTCAGGGGGCATGTCTGTGCCGGCTTGATCAGGCAGGTATTGCCGGCGGCTATGCAGGCGGCCATCTTCCAGGAGAGCATCATCAATGGATAATTCCAGGGTGTGATCAGGCCAACCACACCAATCGGTTCCTTGCGCGTAAACGTCAGCACATTGTTGGGCCGGGCGGGATTCACGGGTATCGTATTACCCTGGATCTTATCGCACCAGCCGGCAAAGTAGCGCCACGCATCGATGGACATGCCAATGTGGGTCTTCAGGGCCAGCGTATAGACGGCGCCCGAGTCCACAGACTCAATGGTGGCCAGTTCCTCCTTGTGTTGCTCCATCAGATCGGCCAGTTTCAGCATGAGCTGTCCGCGTTGCCGGGCCGACACCTGCTTCCAGGCGCCAAAGAATGCCTTGTGCGCCGCCTGCACCGCCTTGTCTACATCGTTCACGCTCGCACAGGCCACCTGGCAGAGCACCTGCTCGTCGGTGGGATTAATGATGTCCAGTGTGCGCTGCTGCTCGGCATCGATGAACGCGCCATTGATGAAGAGCTGTGTGGGCACCCGAATCTCACGCTTGTTCGCCTGCAGCAGAAAACCCTCGTAGTTGAGCTGCTTGGCGCTGGCGTCGCCGCTGCCCTGGCGCAGGCTTCTTATCAGCTGATCGAAGAACTCCTCAAAGACGGGCGCCATAAAGACGTGCTCATTCTCTAGCGGCACATCGAATGCCTCCTTGACCTCCTCCACTAGACGCACCACGTCCATGGAGCCAGCGCCGGCGGCAAAGAAATCCGTCGTTGCCTCGATAGGTTCCTTGAGTATGGCTTGCCAAATGCCAGACAGCTGCGTCCGCTTAGCCAACTCATCTTCGGTGAAATCCGTAATAGGCTGGTGCTCCGCCTGCTTGAACCAATCGCTGGCATTGATCATCTTCGAGCCACGCTTAATGCGACGCACATTCACAAAGGCGCCGTCAGTGCCCTCAATCAGCAGGCCGCCCTCGTGTACCCAGGCTGGCTTGGCCAGGCCCTTCAGCTTCAGCGGCTGTCCGCCTTTGACGGGTCCAGCGGAATAGATATGTGCCCCAAAGAAACGCACTTGCTGCTCACTGCCATCGGCTTCGAGCACGGTAGCTATGGCTCCCGGCACCGAGTCTAGGCCACGCACAAAATTCCATATGCGCTCCGCGGACTGTTGCAGATTCAGCATCTGGTTCTCGGCTTTGAACATGGCCGGATCATAGGTGGCGCCCACCTCAGTTTGGGTTATTTTGGGCGCTGTGCCCTGGGCAACCATATCAACAGCCACGCCCATGGCCTTGACACCCTCCGGATACAAGAACCTCTTGTAGATGCTGTCCAAAGTGTCCGTCGGCTCAACATTGGTCTGACGTTGCAACAGCAAGGGTCCAGTGTCCAGGCCATCATCCGCCCAGAAAATGCTGAAGCCGGCCACCTCGTCGCCCTGTTAAAAACCAAAAAGAGGATTAGAATCGATCCGAAGAATTCGCGCTCCTGCTGCTTACCTCGATGAGCGTCCAGGATATGGCGCTCGCGCCGCGATGCCTGGGCAATATGGAGGGATGGTAGCATATGCTGCCCAACGGAGCGCCATCAATCACCTCGATGGGTATGAACTGTGAGCAATAGGGCAGCACATTTAGCGTTGCGCCCACCGATTTGTACTTTGCCAGGACCTCGGGCAGGGCCACGCCCTTGCGGCGCCAGCTGGCAAACTTGAAGACGGGTATATTGTGGCTGGCCGCGGTGCTGGCCAAAACATCCTCCCGACTGCCCTTGTCCGGTATGGTGAACACGCCCACTATTTGAAAAATGGAACGTTCCAACAGCAACTCCAGCACATCGGCCGCAAAATTGCTCTGGCCAATAATCGCAATGCGCAGACTGGACTGTAAAAAGGCAATACAACTAAATTTAATATGCATATCGGATCACAACATTGTCATTTAATTAATCAAAAGGTAAGTAAAAAAAAAGTATTGTTATAAAACAAACATAGGTATTTAATATGTGGCTGAGTTTTATTTCAACATTTTTTTCTTAAATTTGACAAATACAAGTCAAGCTATTTTACAGGGTAACTAGAAAGCGAGTCAATTATAGAGCATGGAATATTATTCTTTTAGAACATGAGTATAATTATATATTTAATTTAATATGTTTGTGTACTGTTTAACACCTGGCGAAATAATTAGCGAGTGCATTTTTTTGTTTATACTATTTCGAGTGTAAATTCATAGAGCGAGAGAACGAGAAAGCAATAAAATATTCAGTGTGCAGCAGATTAAATACCCTTAATATTATCGCACGACTCTCGTGCAAAGACTTTGTTCAAAATATGGAAGAATGGGAAAAAACTTTAATTTTCATTCAAATATTTGAAAGGTGGAGCAACCGGCATTTAGAAAACTACGTGTTAAAAAAAAAAAAAAAAAAAAACAAAAAACTTGTAATTTGGTTGTTTTTACTGATCAAGTATAAATAATTTATGGGACCGGAAATGCCTTGTTACGCACATTGTCAAAAAAAAAATAAATGATATCCCTCTGCTAGGATTTTAAAAAACTGTTGAATGGCAGTGATATAAATTATAATATTAATATTATATTTATATAATTAATATATTATTAAATAATATAAATATAATGTAACCTTTAATATAATGTTAATATTAATAATTATAATATTAATAAAAAGATTGCCAATTTAACTTTATTTACAAGCTAAAAGTAAATTTGTTTTAAACATGTTAAGCTGGGAATCACTTATTTTTTTTTTTTAAATCGTTATTTAGTTTATATTAGAATAAATATTATGCTGAATTTAATTCGTATACTCACACTCATTATTATTTCACGTTTGGAAGTAATTCTTTGTATAATTTATATTCTTTTTTTTTTGCTTTGTTTTATTTTCTAATGAAATCACTTGATATAGGAATTACTTTTCCCTAAGCTATTTCACTTTTTGCTCTACTCTTATTGAGAAGCAGCCAGCACAGCGCTCGAACTACTTATATTAACTGAATCGCATTGATCATTGTTGGGTCGTATTTATACCTAGAGCCAGCCCAATATTATCAGCTGATTCTCGTAATAAAAAAAAGTGCCAGCATAGGCATGCACTACGGTCGCTACCGTTTCGAAATATGTATTCGTATTTGTGTGCACATACATATACTATAATATACTTTTACTTTTCCAATAATTAAGTACAAAAAAAGAAGACAACAACAACAAGTTGGACATATCGCTTATCAGCTCGAAAAGCTTCAGAGTTCTCGTCGCGGCTAAACGCAATTTTGATAAGCATGATGATTTAGCATGATCAGTGAATTGTGGGCCTGATGTTTGGCGAAGGCCCCAGTGAATGGAAAGTTTGGTAACAAACATTTCAAACCAGCTGCATTCATTATTTAAGCCTTTGCCATTTAACGGCTCGTTTTTGGTTCGAGTTCCGTCTGGGTGGCTTTTCTAGGTATTACTTGGACTCGGATTGTAATTTGTAATAGAAACCAACACACAGGCTAATATTATGAGCTAGACGTCTGGATTTAACTGGTTACTGGGAAAGTAAACTAAAAAGTTATCAGTGATTACAAATAGAAAAGTGTAAAAAATACTAGTAATATGTTAAAGGGGATTGTACACATTTAGTTAGGCAGTGTCTAATTGTTGCTAATTAACGTTCAGTATAGATTTAATTAGATTGTGTTTATGTAAAGAGCTAATGTAGGACAGACTATGATTATCAGAAAGATTATTTTAATAATATATATTTATATATATATATATATATATATATTAATTTATGAATTATAGTCGACAACTGGCCCTAGCTGCTCTTCTCGCGACATTTATTATTATTTTACTATTTTGCGTCAATTTAATCTCATAAAATATAGCTAAAAAAGGTTTTTCTAAATGTGGAACACGCGAAATAAATAATCCTAAAAATTCTAAGATGCATTGAATTCTTTTTGGGCTTTAAAATAAAAACAATACGTAAATAATTCAATTAAAACATTGGGTAACAGGTTCATTGACTTACAAAATGAATTAAAATGTTATAAACATGTTTTAAAGAATATTTAAAAGTAAAATCAATAAAATATTTTTAAAAAATATTAAGTATTTGTTGTGTTGTGTAAAAGAAAAATACTTATTATTTATATGATTGTTTTTCTTACTTATATTGTAATAATTTCTTATATTAATAATAATTAAATTCAGTTTTGACTTTTTTAATATTATTTAATATTGTTTTAATTTTTTTTTTAGCGTTATCTAATATGAATGCTGCATACTGGACTTCGAATTATATATAATCGGTAAGTACTCAAAAATATATATCCAATAATTTCAGTATATGCATTTTTTTGTATTAAATATAAATATCTTTTTCATGATTTATACGAATCTTGTTTATACTATGAATCTATCGTAATATCTAAATTAATCGTGTTTATTGTCCGCCGTCAAACTTCTTTGCCATTTAGCTAATTATTGAATTTAATTAGCTAGGATATCGAATTTGAATAATCTTTATGGCTAGTAGCTATCCTTAGCAGCACTTGTTATACTTAGTATCCATTTACAACTTCGGAGCTGAACATGCTTTACGCTCTGCAGCGTTACCTAAAATACTTTGCCATCTTGGGTCTGGTGCCGTGGTCCGAGAAGGCGCCACAGCAGCAGCTGCAAAAGATCTATACGATTGTCATAATATTTCTGAACATCGGAGTGGCCTTCTATATAGTATTCTATGCCTCGCCAGAGGGTGATTTACTGGTATCGATGCTGGTGAGCTGCACCGTGTTCATATCGCAGATTGTGACCATGTCAGGCGTGTATCAATTCCAACTTAATAGTCGATGTATTTATTCAATATAATGAATTTTTCTCTCTGAACAGTTGTCGAACTGCAAGTGATGTGCCAGCATAAAAGATACTACGAATTCTGTCTGCAGTTAAAGTGCCTGAGATTGCATTTTCAGTGCGAACTACAGCAGCCAGTTAAGGGTTGGCCCTGGACCAGATATGTCAAGTATTTTGTACTGGGCGTTATCAATTTTGTCTCACTCTTTCCATCTGTATATGTGGTGCTACACTTTGATTATATTGGCTACTTTTGGTTCTCCCTGGGCGCCGTTTTGATCAATCGTGTTCAGTGTCTGCTGCTGCTGCTCTATGCTGAGCTTCTTGGATATCATGTGGAGCTATTGGATCAGCGTCTGCAGGCGGTGCACAGCTATCGTCTGCTGGGCGCCCAATCGCAGTTGAATGTAAAATTTGAGCAAATGTGCTCCTTGGAGTATTTGTTGAGCCTGAAGCGCGCCTACATGGAGCTATATCGTTTATTTGAACTCTATAATAGCCTGTTTGGCTGGTCGATTGTCTTCATCTTTGTGGTTATGTTTCTGGACAGCATCGTTAATATATATTGGTCGCTGCTGGTTCTCACTGAAATCTATAGCTTTGTTTTCATCTACATGACCTGCTCGACCTTTGTGCCGCTGCTCATATTGATCTTCACCTTCTGCCGTTGCGGCGAGTACTGCAAGCAACAGGTGAATACTTGTATTGCCATATTCTTCTGTTTAATAATCAAAACCCAAACTTGTAGCACATGCTCATAGGCAGCCATGTACGTGGCCTGGCCTGTGCTGCACAATGCCAAGCCGTACCGCCAACTTTGGCATACAATGCAGTCCTGGCCGAGTTCGCCATGCAGGTGGAACAGGATGCATTGATCATTAGCGCCGAAGGCTTTATGGATATTGACTACAGCCTGCTAATGTCGGTAGGTCCTTAACTGCAGGATGCAGTAAATTATCAAATTATTAAATAAACTTTCATAGATCTTTACGGCCATGGTCACCTATCTGATTGTGCTCATGCAATTCGGCTCGTTATATACCTAAAAATGAGGATCTGAATTTAAGTTTGCGTGACATTTTACAATACGAGGCGAACACGCAGCATGCCAAGCAAATAATTATATTACACATTTTACATTTTAATTGTTTATTATTTCGAGCATTGCGATCTACATAATATATATAATTTATATAATCTATATAATCAATGTATCTCGACAAGGATATATAACTAGTGTCCACTTCGGTCGTGGAATTCATGTATATATACCATTTTAAGAAAATTCAAGAAACTATTTTAATTTCACGATAAGAGAAATACCATATACACATTGCTTTTATAGTATATATATTAATTCAGAGGAAAGCAGTAGCTTCAGTTTATAGAAAAGTACCCTTAATTAAGTTTTGTGTTTACTGTTCGATCTGTATACAACCATCAAGATATAAGGATAAGCTAAATAAAAAAATAGATTTGATTCACAACATAATTGTGAATGTATTTTCAAGATATTCTCCAAAAACAGTTGTTGGAAATCGATATTTATCGATTTCAGGCACAAAGTTCGATATTCACGGCATTTTTTAGATATACTTGATTCTCATACATTAACGAAACATTTTAAGAAAACTGTAACCGAATGACATAGCGGGCTTACATCATACGGAATTCCGTCCAAACTATCAAAATGATTACTTGACCGGCAACTTGGCCATTTTACGTTTTCACCACTGACCTACTTTACCCCCCAAGTTCCGCTGCAGACCACTTAAGACTGTGATATAGATAAGATTATGAAATGACGAACGATCATAATAAAATTTGGAAATCAAACTGGTAAAAACTGGTTTGGTAATAGGCAGCTGGCATTATCTCGAGTATCACTGAACTTGGCAAGTTCTTGAAATGTTTGAATAAACAGGTTTCCAAAAATATAATAGATGACCCCCCCAAGAGTTCTTAGCTGATAGCTGTTGTCAGTTGACTATAATATATATATAAATATACAGATGGTGCTATGTTGTGTTATGCAATTATGCATATGTACATATTTAGAATACAGTAGGGTCCAATAAACTGAGCACGCACTCTACAGCTGCTCGCTGGTGTTCTTTAGACGCCACTGGGAAGAGTGTCACATTTCTTTTTTACTGATAAGTTTGTCGACGATAACCTGTTCGAGTGCCCTCGGCTAAGTCATCAAAACAAAGCAAAAAACCGGTTTGCGCGCTATGCCAAACCGGTTTCAAGCAACTCAGGATGTGCTAATTTAGATAGGCGATCGAACTAGCAAAGTAAACATTCAGTCCCTCTAATCTCTCAGACATAATATATTTATAAATCATGCATATACTTTTCACTGGCTCTTTATTTTTTTTTTTTTATTAATTGCTATGTACTAGAATTTTAAGTCGGTTTAAACCGGTTTTCGATTTTGAACTTCTCCCGATGTTATCAATGGGTTCAAATGTGTTCTTACACGTGGTGAGGTGTATTGTATAAAATGTGCAAATTGTAGACATGATTAAAAGACAAATTAATTATGCAATTGTAATTGAACATAAACTCAAACTAGATTTATTATTTAAGCTCGTAGGTCACTTGTGCATTCACACTAACTTCCTGCACGACTGCATCGCCATCATCATTTAGGATCTCCAGGTTACACTCGATCTCTTCGGTCTTGAGCTCTGTATTTGTATCGGAAGCAGCATCAACATTATCTGGTTCAATAGCTTCAAAATAATCTAATCTTATAATAGGCTTGGGCACATTCTCAGCTGACTGAGGCAACTCCTCGCCAAAATCTTGATTAGTTAGCTCAATGTCCTCTAGTATTGATTTGTCACGTGCATTTTCTTTAAGTTTTTCTTCTAGATTTTCAGTTAAGTGAGGAGACTCTTTGGTAGACTCTTGAATAGTCAGCTCTACGTTCTCTAGTATTGATTTCTCATATTCATTTTCTTTAAGTTTTTTTCCTAGGTTCTCATCAGTTGACTGAGGCATTTCTTCGCCAACCTGTTGAGTAGTTAGTTCTACGTCCTTTAATATTAGATTTTCATTTTCATTAGGTTTTTCTTGTAGATTTTTAGTTAACTGAGGCAACTCTTCGACTGCCTCTTGAATAGTCAGCTCTACATCTTCCAGTATTAGATTCTCATGTGCATTTTCTTTTAATTTCTCTCTAAGGCCTATGCTTTCAACAGTGGACTCTGCGCATATCTGTGTTTCGGTTTTATCAATAGATTTGTCTAGATTGGAATTCTTTATTTGCGTCTCGCAGTCTTCATAGATAGTATTCAGTTTTTTTAGACTAGCCTCCAGTTCATAGTCGTCTTCGCCATTGCTTTCGTCCTCATTGAATTGACTCTTCTCCAACAATTTCATATCATCCGCCGCAATGAACTCATTTAGCTTCTGTGATATTTTAGCCCATTGACGCTTGGCATTGCGTGCCAGTTCGCCAACGGCACCATTCGATTCAGTATCTGTCGTATCGTCTTCTTCGACAACCTTGGTTTGTTCTGGTGAGCTCTTTTTGGCTTCCAGCTCCGAGCTCTCGTCATCCACATCTGTGGTTAGAGCTGATTCCGATTCTGGCTTTTCATTGCCTGTTTCCAAACGATCCTCTTCATTTATGGAGTCTTCCTCCTGACTTGTCCAAGCTCTGAGGGGCAAACTGAAGAGCTGCTTGCGCAAAGCCTCTTCGTTTTCACGCTCTAACTTTTGGCCATCTTCAAACTGATTGCTAAACAATTCATTGAGGGCACCCTCGGGCAGTTTTGGTGGCTCTACAACGGGTATTTCTTCTTCCGAATCATAGTCAGTGGATGCATCGGAAATAATATCGTCATCTATGCTTACATTGGCGTTTATTTCTGTTTTTGTGGGCTCTGGATCAGCGCTGTGCGTGTCTTTCGGTTTCTCAGTGGATGTCTCGATAGATTCATCGATTTGTTGTTCTAGAACTTCTTTAATAGGTGGCTCCATTTTCAAAACTTCTTGCTCTAAATTACATTTATCGTTCCCATTGCTTCTCTCTTCTGTCGTTTCCTCCATATCTTTCGCTGGCTCTTCCCCGTTTCCTGTTTCAGGCAGCTGGCTTTTTAATTCGTAAATTTTACAGCCACCCAATGTTAATTGTATTGGAGTGAAATCTTCCTGCAACTCCTGTGCATCTTCCTGTTGGTCGCTGTTGCTCTCCTCTTTGGGACCAAGCAGCTCTTTGGGTCTTTCCGAACCACACATTAGCTTTTGCAAATTTTTCCCGGCTCCGACTCCGGCTGTATGTTCCTCTTCACTTTCGCCTCCAAGTTTGTCCATAATCGATTTCGTTTTCAATTTAAGTGCGCCCAAATCCTGCGAACTCGCCAGCTCTTGTTGCTGACGTTCGCGTTCCTCCTGCTGGCGCTTGCGTTCGATTAAATCCTTCAGCATTTCATCCTGCTTCACCAGTGCACCGGGATTCTCTTCCTTTTGGATGTCATCGGATTTTAGGCCAGCTCTTAGTTCGTCGTAGCTGCGCATACCCTCCACTGTTATCTCGCCATCACTGCCAATCACCTTTTGCAGATCCAGTTTATCTAGGAACTCCGAGTCTAGCGAGTTGAAGGCGTCTCTTGCCTCAAGCGAGTAAAATTCATCAATGGACTGATCAACCACACTATCCTCATCCCTGAGCTCGACCACATTCAGCTCTTCATTTGCGCGCATTGGCTCCAGTTCTGCTTTTGGCCACATGCTGCGAGAAGTCGTGGCTCCTTTTGTTTCCTCGGCGGTGTCATAGGCATCATCCTCATCTCCATCGGAGCACTCGCTCTCACTGTCACTCTCGCTGTCACTGATGAGCGCTGGCGGTGGCGGCAGATCCTCTATGTTGCCTGTATCCTTTTTCACAATCACCAGCTTGTTGTCCACCACGTCGAGTGTGTCCTCGTAGTCTTCACGCTTGGCAAAACAACGCGTTGCCATTGCCGCCACACGACGTTTGGTTTTCTCCTTTAGCTTGGCCAATTCGGCATCTAGCTCCGCGGGAGTCTCCTCTTTGTAGGACGTTAGCATTCTGGACTTGAGCAGTTCTTTAGCCGCTTGCACCTTCTCCGAGCTGCTTGTGGCTTTTCGATCCGATTTTCTCAGCTTCTTGCGTTCACTGACGGAGCTAAGAAAATCGCCAAAGGCGTCTATGCATTCACGCAGCGACTTGCCGCTCGCCGGATCCTCCAGCTCCGGCGGCATTAGCTTCTCGGTCTTGGGTTCTGCCGAATAGCTATACTCCTCATCCGATTCAATTAGTCCAAAATCAAAGCATTTGATATTCTGTCCGTTGATTATCTCCTGATACTGCAGCTCGTCGATTAGCTCATCAATGAGTGCGGCACAGACCTCCTCAATGGGTGGCTCCGGTGCCCTGGAGAGGTCCTCTTCATCCAAAGTGCTCGTGATGTCGTACAGGACATCTGCCTCATCCTCTAGCTCCTGCAATAGCTCGCGTAACGATGCCTCATCCGCCGCCAGCTTTTGACTCATCTGCTCACAAATTAGCTCAGCCTGTGCATGGCTTGTTTCTGCATTCAGTAATTTAATCTGGTACTCATCTTCGTTGGGCACTTTACGGGTCTCTTTGATTGTTAATTGACGCAGGCATTCTTCCGTACGCCATTCATAGCTGGGCGTGTCGCAGCCAGCTCCAAAAACACGCCTGGGCACATCATCTGTACAATCGTCCAGTACCTTGGCAAAGGCAGCATCCATTTCATCCAACTCTGTTTCATTTTTCTCCACTTTCATCTCTTCTATTAGTACTTTAGTTTCATGCTCATCCTGAGATCTTTTCTCTTGATCCTTCATGTCCTCACAGATGCGTTCCCTGCGCACGCTGAACTCCTCTATTATGCGTAGAGAACGCGTCACAGTAGTCAATTCAATGCACTTTTTTTTATCCGCTTCTTTCTCCTCGTCGGAGCTGCTGCTTGTTTCCTTAGGTTGAACTTGCGGCGTGCCTCGCAGTTGATCAAGCGGCTGCCGCAGCTCTTCCAAGTCCTCGTCCAGTTGGCTACTGATCTCTTCTATATTATATTCCACTATACCATTTGCCTCGACGCACTCCTCTTCATATTCCAATTGCTCCTTGGTCTTGACTATATTATTCACAACCTCCGAGCGCAACTTAGGCATTTCCTCAGTGTGTTGCTTAGACTCCAGCTCATTTGTGGGATTTCCTTTTGTTAGCATTGTCTCGCTGAACTCGGGGTGTTCTGCAAATATTTCTGTGCCATAAGATTCGTACATGCGATCTATACATTCCTGTTTGATTTGCTCGGCGGATGGTTCGCCAGCATTGTTTGAAGCTACAGCTCCTAATTTCTCGCTCGATTTCTCTAGATCCGCTGCGCTGCTTTGATCCATTTCCGAGCCGCTGTCTGGTTCATTAATGAGCTCCGGTAAATCCTTAGCTTCCACTTCGTTGTTTGCGCTGTTTTCCTGTTGTTTCTTTACTGCTTCCTCCAGCTCAGTGGGTTTTGCGTCCACTTGGGTTTTTCCAAGCTTTGGATCCTCTTTTTTGTTCTCTGCTTTTGTCGCTTCCTCCTCCTGTAGCCTGGCTCTCTTACGTTCCACATCAAGTTCTTCTAGTTTAACTTCCTCTATGTATATACGTTTGCCTGTGCGTGTCTCCTGATCGTCCCGTTGTCGGGTAGGCTCCAGTTGCTCCTCTGGATTTACCGCATCGGCAAGCTGTGATTCATATAGCACCTTTGGACGTCCCTCCAACGGCTTGGCCTGACGATTGCTTAACTGTTCAGCTATATCGTCAGCTTGCGAACCATTGCTGGCTTCATCAGCTGTGCCCGAGGTACCGGAGCTATCGTTGTCTTTATTGTCGCCAGATACTTCACTCCATATATCATCCACGCAGCCATATTCTAGTGCGGCTTTCACACGCGTCTTTTCCGCACCTTTGTCGGCTTCCTGTTCCGCTTCTGAATCTGTTGAGCTTATCAATGAATCTTGTTGGTCCGGCGGCCGATGACGATTGCGTAGTTTGATGGTATCTAATAAGAGGATAACAGGGTAACTGAATAGATCTTACGGCAAATACAAGAACTTACAGTTTACGCTATCACGCATTTTCTTGCGATCCGCGCGATTCCAGCGCATATTTTCCTTGCGTTCGCCCTCATACCCTTCACGTTTCCTAAGATACAGAAATGTATATATAGCTTGTATATAAAACATGTTTTAGAGTCTTTATTTACCAGGCCTCGGCACAAGCGCGATCACGTGGGAATACAGGTCGACTGTCCAAGTAGGTTAGTTCCTTCTACGAGCGATAAAATACAGGAAATTTTTAAAAACTGTTATTTAAATTAATTTAAAAGATTGTTTTCTCCGTTGCAGTGGAATTTTCATTCCACAAACTTGAGCAATTTTATTTGGGTATTTCGATTTTTTAGATAAAAATGATTTACTTTTAATAAATACCAAAGTAATGAGTAGTATGTCTTTATGGCTTTGTCAAGAACTGCCCGGTTTCTGTATCAGCCGACCTTACAATGGCCAAAGGCTTGTTCCCCTGACGAGGCTATAACCAGTTGCGAATTTCAAGCTTTAGTATGTTAATAACATATAAGAAAAATCTAATGATTCTCAGACCACTTGATCATTCAGCTGCTAGAAATATTATATAGCATATTATATCATAATACATCTGCTAACTGAATTAATTTTTCAGAACTCCAAAATTTTTCCTTTTCATACTCACACAGGCTAAAATCAGGGTCTTGCGATATTGCGGCAAACGTGATACGACAGGATTGCCCTGCAGTACCAAAACTTTCAGGCAGGGCATCTTTTCAAAGATCTTAACAATCAGTATGTCATCTATGCGATTATTTGACAAATCCAGCACAGCCAAAGTCTTACATTCGACCAAATGAGCAAGACTTTCGCTGTCCTTTAAATAGTTGGACGATATATTAAGTGTATTCAGAACGGGCAATATATCGGAGCCAATGTTCTCAATCAGGCGTATATGATTCGAGCTGAGGTTGAGTGTGTCCAATTCGGGACACGAGGCCAAATTCTCGATGCGTTTGATCAGATTGTTTTGAAGAAAGAGACATTTGAGTTTGCTCTGTTTATCCAAACCCTCGATTTCCGATATGGCATTGCACTCCAGCCACAAGCACTTGAGTTCAGTGTACTCATCCAAGCATTCGATATACTGGTAGCCTGTAAATTGTTTATTACTAGTTTAGTAAACTCAGCCTTTCATTCAGTTTTTACCCTGATAGTGCAAATAGAGCACATCGTTCAGACGTGGCGTCTGATATAGCTTGTCCTTCTTGCATAGATCTCGAAGGCCCTTCTGTGTCATGCGATGCAAGCCGGTTACCTCTTTGCGCGGCGCCACAGCGCCCACAGCTTGTGCCATTATTTACAATATAACTATATGATTCTAGATATAGTTATTAGTATTATATTTAGATTTAAAACTATGCAACTCAATTCCTAATATTTGATGCAGTGTGTCTAACGAATTTGTTGGCGTAGTTGACGGCGCTTGTTACGTTTGTTTATTATTTATTATTGAACAAACAACATATCAAATCGTTAGGGACAACCACGCTCCAAGCGATTACACGTAAATCGAGTACAATATTAGCCACCTTCTCTGGTATGAATATGTCACTAATCAGGAAACTACAGGAAACTAATCTCTCAAATGGAAGATTAAGTTCGTCTATAAAACACATTTAGCTTGGTAAAAATTTACCATCATTATTAAATTTGCTGAGAACATTTTTATAATTTATTAGAGCGAAAAATGAAAACCATGAAGAAAAAGCGGCAAACTTCGTGAAAATCGGATGAGATTTGACCGAGATATGGGGGTGGTAATTTTTGACCCATGTCTATATACGAATCTTGGGGTAAGATTTGGACATGAATTTCGACCAAAAAATCGGTGTCGAGATTTGAATGCCACATTAATCTAGAGGGAAAACCATGAAGAAAAAGCCAAACTTCGTGAAAATCGGATGAGATTTGGCCGAGATATGAGGCTGGTAATTTTTGACCCATATCTATATACGAATCTTGGGGTAAGATTTGGACATAAATTTCGACTAAAAAATCGGTGTTCAGATTTGAATGCCTGATTAATCTAGAGGGAAAACCATGAAGAAAAAGCCAAACTTCGTGAAAATCGGATGAGATTTGGCCGAGATATGGGGGTGGTAATTTTTGATCCATATCTATATACGAATCTTGGGGTAAGACTTGGACATAAATTTCGACTAAAAAATCGGTGTTCAGATTTGAATGCCACATTAATCTAGAGGGAAAACCATGAAGAAAAAGCCAAACTTCGTGAAAATCGGATGAGATTTGGCCGAGATATGAGGCTGGTATTTTTGACCCATATCTATATACGAATCTTGGGCTAAGAATTGGACATGAATTTCGACCAAAAAATCGGTGTCGAGATTTAAATGCCAGATTAATCTAGAGGGAAAACCATGAAGAAAGCGGCAAACTTCGTGAAAATCGGATGAGATTTGGCCGCGATATGGGCCTGGTAATTTTTGACCCATGTCAATCTTGGGGTAAGATTTGGACATAAATTTCGACTAAAAAATCGGTGTCGAGATTTGAATGCCACATTAATCTAGAGGGAAAACCATGAAGAAAAAGCCAAACTTCGTGAAAATCGGATGAGATTTGGCCGAGATATGGGCCTGGTACTTTTTGACCCATGTCTATATACGAATCTTGGGGTAAGATTTGGACATAAATTTCGACTAAAAAATCGGTGTTCAGATTTGAATGCCACATTAATCTAGAGGGTAAACCATGAAGAAAAAGCCAAACTTCGTGAAAATCGGATGAGATTTGGCCGAGATATGGGCCTGGTAATTTTTGACCCATGTCTATATACGAATCTTGGGGTAAGATTTGGACATGAATTTTGACCAAAAAATCGGTGTCGAGATTTGAATGCCACATTAATCTAGAGGGAAAACCATGAAGAAAAAGCCAAACTTCGTGAAAATCGGATGAGATTTGGCCGAGATATGAGGCTGGTAATTTTTGACCCATATCTATATACGAATCTTGGGGTAAGATTTGGACATGAATTTCGACTAAAAAATCGGTGTTCAGATTTGAATGCCACATTAATCTAGAGGGTAAACCATGAAGAAAAAGCCAAACTTCGTGAAAATCGGATGAGATTTGGCCGAGATATGAGGCTGGTAATTTTTGACCCATATCTATATACGAATCTTGGGGTAAGATTTGGACATGAATTTTGACCAAAAAATCGGTGTCGAGATTTGAATGCCACATTAATCTAGAGGGAAACCCATGAAAAAAAAGCCAAACTTCGTGAAAATCGGATGAGATTTGGCCGAGATATGAGGCTGGTAATTTTTGACCCATATCTATATACGAATCTTGGGGTAAGATTTGGACATGAATTTCGACTAAAAAATCGGTGTTCAGATTTGAATGCCAGATTAATCTAGAGGGAAAACCATGAAGAAAGAGCCAAACTTCGTGAAAATCGGATGAGATTTGGCCGAGATATGGGCCTGGTAATTTTTGACCCATGTCTATATACGAATCTTGGGGTAAGATTTGGACATAAATTTCGACTAAAAAATCGGTGTTCAGATTTGAATGCCACATTAATCTAGAGGGAAAACCATGAAGAAAAAGCCAAACTTCGTGAAAATCGGATGAGATTTGGCCGAGATATGAGGCTGGTAATTTTTGACCCATATCTATATACGAATCTTGGGGTAAGATTTGGACATGAATTTCGACTAAAAAATCGGTGTTCAGATTTGAATGCCAGATTAATCTAGAGGGAAAACCATGAAGAAAAAGCCAAACTTCGTGGTCATTTTTGACCTATATACGAATCTTGGGGTAAGATTTGGACATGAATTTCGACCAAAAATCGGTGTCGAGATTTGAATGCCACATTAATCTAGAGGGAAAACCATGAAGAAAAAGCCAAACTTCGTGAAAATCGGATGAGATTTGGCCGAGATATGAGGCTGGTAATTTTTGACCCATATCTATATACGAATCTTGGGGTAAGATTTGGACATGAATTTCGACTAAAAAATCGGTGTTCAGATTTGAATGCCACATTAATCTAGAGGGTAAACCATGAAGAAAAAGCCAAACTTCGTGAAAATCGGATGAGATTTGGCCGAGATATGGGGGTGGTAATTTTTGACCCATGTCTATATACGAATCTTGGGGTAAGATTTGGACATGCATTTTGACCAAAAAATCGGTGTCGAGATTTGAATGCCACATTAATCTAGAGGGAAAACCATGAAGAAAAAGCCAAACTTCGTGACAATCGGATGAGATTTGGCCGAGACATGGGGGTGGTAAATTTTGATCCATGTCTATATACGAATCTTGGTGTAAGATTTGGACATGAATTTCGAGTAAAAAATCGATGTTCAGATTTGAATGCCTGATTAATCTAGAGGGAAAACCATGAAGAAAAATCCAAACTTCGTGAAAATCGGATTAGATTTGGCCGAGATATGGGAATGGTAATTTTTGACCCATGTCTATATACGAATCTTGGGGTAAGATTTGGACATAAATTTCGACTAAAAAATCGGTGTTCAGATTTGAATGCCACATTAATCTAGAGGGAAAACCATGAAGAAAAAGCCAAACTTCGTGAAAATCGGATGAGATTTGGCCGAGATATGGGCCTGGTAATTTTTGACCCATGTCTATATACGAATCTTGGGGTAAGATTTGGACATAAATTTCGACCAAAAATCGGTGTCGAGATTTGAATGCCACATTAATCTAGAGGGAAATCCATGAAGAAAAAGCCAAACTTCGTGAAAATCGGATGAGATTTGGCCGAGATATGAGGCTTGTAATTTTTGACCCATATCTATATACGAATCTTGGGGTAAGATTTGGACATGAATTTCGACTAAAAAATCGGTGTTCAGATTTGAATGCCAGATTAATCTAGAGAGAAAACCATGAAGAAAAAGCCAAACTTCGTGGTCATTTTTGACCTATATACGAATCTTGGGGTAAGATTTGGACATGAATTTCGACAAAAAAAATCGGTGTCGAGATTTGAATGCCACATTAATCTAGAGGGAAAACCATGAAGAAAAACCCAAACTTCGTGAAAATCGGATGAGATTTGGCCGAGATATGGGCCTGGTAATTTTTGACCCACGTCTATATACGAATCTTGGGGTAAGATTTGGACATGAATTTCGACTAAAAAATCGGTGTTCAGATTTGAATGCCAGATTAATCTAGAGGGAAAACCATGAAGAAAGAGCCAAACTTCGTGAAAATCGGATGAGATTTGGCCGAGATATGGGCCTGGTAATTTTTGACCCATGTCTATATACGAATCTTGGGGTAAGATTTGGACATAAATTTCGACTAAAAAATCGGTGTTCAGATTTGAATGCCACATTAATCTAGAGGGAAAACCATGAAGAAAAAGCCAACCTTCGTGAAAATCGGATGAGATTTGGCCGAGATATGGGCCTGGTAATAAATTTCGACCAAAAATCGGTGTCGAGATTTGAATGCCACATTAATCTAGAGGGAAAACCATGAAGAAAAAGCCAAACTTCGTGAAAATCGGATGAGATTTGGCCGAGATATGAGGCTGGTAATTTTTGACCCATATCTATATACGAATCTTGGGGTAAGATTTGGACATGAATTTCGACTAAAAAATCGGTGTTCAGATTTGAATGCCAGATTAATCTAGAGGGAAAACCATGAAGAAAAAGCCAAACTTCGTGGTCATTTTTGACCTATATACGAATCTTGGGGTAAGATTTGGACATGAATTTCGACTAAAAAATCAATGTCGAGATTTGAATGCCACATTAATCTAGAGGGAAAACCATGAAGAAAAAGCCAAACTTCGTGAAAATCGGATGAGATTTGGCCGAGATATGGGGGTTGTAATTTTTGACCCATGTCTATATACGAATCTTGGGGTAAGATTTGGGCATGAATTTCGACTAAAAAATCGGTGTTCAGATTTGAATGCCACATTAATCTAGAGGGAAAACCATGAAGAAAAAGCCAAACTTCGTGAAAATCGGATGAGATTTGGCCGAGATATGGGCCTGGTAATTTTTGACCCATGTCTATATACGAATCTTGGGGTAAGATTTGGACATAAATTTCGACTAAAAAATCGGTGTTCAGATTTGAATGCCACATTAATCTAGAGGGAAAACCATGAAGAAAAAGCCAAACTTCGTGAAAATCGGATGAGATTTGGCCGAGATATGGGCCTGGTAATTTTTGACCCATGTCTATATACGAATCTTGGGGTAAGATTTGGACATAAATTTCGACCAAAAATCGGTGTCGAGATTTGAATGCCACATTAATCTAGAGGGAAAACCATGAAGAAAAAGCCAAACTTCGTGAAAATCGGATGAGATTTGGCCGAGATATGAGGCTGGTAATTTTTGACCCATATCTATAT